CTTTTGGGGGAGCAATAATTTTGCAAAAGTCCTGTAAATGTCATTCCTGACTTCAGGACACCCTAGCTCTGAATCCAGATGCTGTCAGCAAAAGGTTGGTTACTTTTTGGAGACATCACATACAGATTGCCTTTCAAATTAGTAGCCACTCATTAGAAAACTATTGATTTTCTAGTTGTCTGTTAAGGGAGCAAAGAATATTATTTCCTGTGGTACAGTATTTTAGGACACAGTCTTAAATATGTGGAAAAAATGGTTTTACCTTCTTCAATTTAGAGAATGGACTTTTTGTTTGTTTGTTTGTTTTTTCAAGTGACGTTAAGCCTTGGTTGACCTCACAGATTGCAAAGAACTTGTCAGCTTACAATCCCTTATTTTTTTACTTCTTACATCTACAGCACCTGGTCTTCGTAAGTGGTCTCCCATGCTAGAACTAACCAGGCCTGACCTTGCTTAGCTTCTGAGATCAGACGAGATTGGGCTTGTTCAGAGTGACAAGGCCGTAGACTGGACAATTGTTAAATAAAGATGTCATGCAGTCTGTCAAAGACGTGGTACCATGTACATGTCCTGGCTCCTGCTGGTGTCAATTTTACTAAGTGTATTTCCTTGCTCAGAGGTCAGGCCGCTCAACTCTTATGGTGGACTAAAGAGGTCGGGGATCCACAGGTCAGTTTTTTGTTTTTGTTTTTTTAACTGAACATTTTTTAAAGGAAAGATGCCTGATAATGTTTATTACCATTAATGAGGAATTTTCACCATATTTAAAAGAACTAAAAATGTCATTGAACTCAGAACTTACCCAAACAACTCTTCATCATATTTTGATATTTTATTTTTATTGCAGCAATCTGGTCATGTGTAAAAGTCAGTTTTACCTTTCAAAAAATAAATGCTGAAACAGTTATTTCTGTGAATCACTCTTTACCTTTAAGATGGACAATGACTTTATTTTCTTTATACAGGTTTTATTTTTTATTATAACATTTTTTTCTACATAAAGAAACAAAAAAATTATACCAACTAGAAAAACGATTGTTTTCCTTGCTAAACTACAGTCTTTTTGTGGAACAAGAAGCCTTCAAAAGTCACTTCTTTTTTCTAAAGTTATCTAAAAAGATTGGTATTTAAAACACTTTTGTGTACAAAATTTTACCATCTTTAGCAAAAGCAGTGAAGGACCCAGTGGCAACCTATCCAAAGTGCAGGGTTCCCAAGTGATGCAGATGCTGCCGCCAAGCACCTGGTGTGCTCAGCAGGCCTGGCTCCAGATGCTGCATCCACAGTTTGCTGTCCTAGATCGAGCTTCAACGTGCCTATATCTGTGTATTTTTTTTTGGAGTTGGTTCTGTGCCTACTAAAAAAACGAGCTGCATTATGTTGAAATGACACCAGTTATTCTTTTATCATCAATCACTGTGCAAAACCGAAACTTTTTCATAGTCTTTAATGACCCATATAATGGTCAAACACTTCATACCACAGTCATCCAATTTAAGCAAAGAAGCTGGTTAATCTCAATCTTCATAATGTAATGTAAGCGTATCTTTGGAGTGCACTAAAATGAACAATATGTGTCATGTGATAAGGAAACTTCTTCAGTGTGAAACTTAGTTTGCCTCAGATTCAGATATGTTGACAGTCATGAAAAAAACTCTGATTTTATTTCCTATAGTGTAAGCTTCATCACCTTTCAAAGTGATTCTAAAACTAACCTAAAGGAAAACTATAAATTTTAAAAATTTGGCTATTGTACTGTTTTTCATTTTATTTTTTTCTAATTAAGCCTACTCAGGGTTCCAAATATTTTGTGTAAATTTCTCCCTTAAAATTAATGATTCTTAAAAGAATGCAAGCCACTAAAGTTCCTATTTTTAGTCACTGACCTATGTCCTTGTTAAAACATATTATAAATGATTACACTTTAAATAATGGTGCTAAAATCATACCAAAAATATTAAGCACTTTTGCTGTTATTGAGAACTTATCGTAAAATAAATATAGAAGTAAATGTTATTTTGTATATAACATTTTATCAAGTACAACTGTGGCAAAAAACTGAAGTGATTTGTGGAAGCTGTTAGGACTTTCACAGCCATAAGATACTGGAATGTCACATGAAACAACACACTTCCCTGCACTTACAAAGAAAAAACATGTTCCAGAAGGACTGATGGGCTTGCATTGACTGCAGAACAGGTAGCAATTGTATGAATTCTCTCTGCATCACACATTTTGTTCACTAAAGCAAGCTGATTCTGGTAAACCCAAAGTCTCAAAATCACTCATGAAGAAGTTTTCTACAGAACCTTTTATGGAAAAAAGTGAGTTTCACTGAGATGCAAAGCAGCTCCCATCTCTTAGTGGCAAATGTCGGTCCCACGGAAGCCGAGCCCTCATGAAACAGAACTATACGGACACTTTTTAAATTATCTTTATTCTGGTTGCAAATGTACAGTTTACTTAGTTACTTAATATTTTATTTGTTCCCATTTGAAGTCTTATAGCTTGCCATGTAAAGCACTGCCTTCATTATCAAACTGCTATATAAGAACATTATAAAATACAAACTATAAACCAAGATAATGCTCTTTACAGTATTCAGATTAGTGCATTAAAACAACACTGATTTAAAAAGGCAAGTAAGTTAACTGGCAAACATCCAATTCCTTTTCTAAAATGGTACAAAATGATATGCAAGGCAAATGCTAAATTTTAAGTGCTGGTTGCTGAAAAACAATAATTGTGGAAAAGTTACTTCCCCCAAATCATTTTGACCCAATGATACAAATGTAACTGTTATCCTATAGGACGTAAGGGAAGGTAATTAACTTTCCATTATAATAGCTATGGAAATACACAGTGCAATAACAGGTTGGGATCTTTAGAATTCTAACACATGAGTACCGATCTGTCATACTCTTCCTTCAAATCACATTAAACATTTATAGTGACTACAAATTCTCCAGTAAATGTCAGACTTAAACAGAGCCTACGTAAAAACAATCTATTCTTATTATTTTACTAGGCAATCTACAGCAAATGCTTAATATATACACATCAGGTAGATGAAATCCAGTAGGAAATTATTCACTGATTTCATTCAGAGTAATCTTAAGACCAACAATAAAAGTTAAATAGATAATTTGTGCTGCTCTGAACCAGAAAAAAAAAGCCAACACAAAAAAATACATTAGATTTTTTTAAGTTAATAGTTCCTCTGCTGGCCCAAATCAAAATTAAACTTTAGAATTTTAATAGAAGTAACACAAATCTGGGTTCATGTGACAGAGAGACAGATGCCACAGAATACATATACCTTTAAATTTACTAATTCCAAAAACTAAGTCAACAGGATAAATTATAAATGAAAGACATATACAATGTGAGCAAAACCCAAACAGTTATTAGACCAAAAAGTATGAAATTTATCCCAGCAGTGATATTTAGAAAAGCTTTCAATATTAGAAAATATCAGATTTAATTCAAAGGAAGCTCCCCACCAAAAAAAAATAACAACAACAAAGTATGGGAGCCATCCTTTATGCAAACGCTTCAAAATAAAATTAAAAAAAAAAAAAAGAAAAAAAGAAAATGATTACAAGAACCTTCTTACATAATTTAGATAATGTAGTGCAACAGTTTTCTCCTTCAAAATCTTAGCCTTGCACTGCCCATATAATTAAACCAATAATTACAACTCCGATGACAAGGATAGAAATGATGATGCACAGGGTTTTTCTGGATTTGTGCTGCAGATGCAAAAACAAAAAACATGTTTACAGATGTAGTGGAGCATCTCCATAGCAACTGGAAATAATTTCATTCATTTCTAGAGTCAAATCAATAGCAATTTATTGCCCTCAAATTTTGGCTGTATTTCTTTCCTTCTCAAAAATCCCTTCACTACATATGGCACTATTCATTCAAAAAACATTCTTCTTGAGTTAATGGACCCACTCAAGGGATAATTATTAAACTTTTGTTGGTAATTTTTCTGGGGTGAGGTTGGGCTTAAAAAAGAAGATATAGAAAAATAAAAGTTACTGATATAAGCAACAGACTGAGATTACCTATGGATGAAAGTGAAGAACAGCTTAAAAGCTTCTATGTTTTTTAAAATTTTATTAAAAAGTTGTTCTTCAAATTGCCAGTTATAAAAATAGTCATGAGAATGTAAAGTACAGCACAGAGAATATAGTCAATGATATTCTAATAACTGTGTGGTGTCAGATGGGTACTAGACTTATTGGGGTGATCACTTCATAACATATATAAATGTCTAATCACTATGTTGTACACCTAAAACTAATATAATATTGAATGTCAACTGTAATTGAAAAATAAATTTTAAAAAATGTTGTTTTTCAAAATGAGTTCTCAAAAAATATCAGCAAGTGTAAATGTGAGGCAATTTTCCCTAAGGTAAATTTATTAGTTTCCAAAATCCTTCTCATTGTTTAACATTAACAGAAACTGAATTCAAAATCTCAACACATAAATAAAAAGACAAGAGGCAAAAAAATTATAAAACAGTCTTTTAAAATATAAAGGTTAAGAGTTTTGCTCTATTCTTCACTCCTGGCCCAGCTGTAGATTTCTACATCTCTTTAACGGCTTGTGTATGTCACAGCAACGTGCAGGAATCTTTTTTCTTATAAAGTAGAAAAATTTGTAAATTTACTTTGTGTCAACCCAAAAAAATTACAGAAAGATATTTCTGACTCTGAAATTACCCTGAAAACCATGAACACTTTCATTATTCAACATATTCATCTAATTTCTGAACTAAATACTCCACATGGATTAAACACGATTTCTTAAAATTTCAATATCATCACGCCTACACATATCTGTCCCAGATTCCACATGGTTACCACAGACACATGCATAACCTGCCTCTATGAACAGTCATGGGTGTTCCACTACAGTGTATCAGTTACCTAGGGCACCTTCCCTGGTGTGGGGTCCTTGGGGTGCTGCAGTGGTAAGAGCACTTATCACCTTCCTTTATGCTCATTGTTCATCCAACCTACTTAGAAGCACCATAGTTTGTAAAGGCTTTCAAGTGGACTATTGGAAAGTTGCTCTCTTCCCAGCACCTGTGCTGCCCAGCCCTTTTCTCATTCCTCCAGGGCCTATGGGGTCAGGTGTAAGGGTGGCTCCAATCTGCTCTGGGAGGTGGTTTGAGAAAACGTGTTCTTTTTCCCCAGGGGCCTGCAAGCTTTCCCTTCCACAAGGAAGAGGAAAAGTAAAATATTTATATATCTGCATCCTCTCAACATGCAAAAGCAAAACGAAATAATACATAAGCCCTGTCACTGACGAATCCTCCTAAACACTGTATTTGAGCAGTTATAACTGTTGGCGTATACAGATTACTGTATGTTCCACTATTTATAACATCTACAGTCTATGACACAGTGACATTAATTCTGCAGCGTCACTATGTAAAGCACGCACGTGAAGACAATAAACACAAGCTACTCTATCAGTGAATACTACTGGCTGTAACTCAGCATTTTCTATATAGCTTCATTGTTCTCTATGTATCACTGAATATGCAGTGATTTGTCCAGTAAAAAAAAAAAATGACATTAAAACTAAAGGGAACTTTTAAGATTAGTGAGAAAAGTGAAAAGCAATTGAAAATATTTAAGACGGTGCAAATCTCAGATATTTTATAAGCAGATAACAAGGTCTGAGAAAATAATTATGAACAAAAACAGAAATAGAGTTTTAAAAGGGAAGTCAAATGCTAGGGTCGTATTTAGGGGTTTCCAAAGAGCCTGGCCTTATCCTTGCTGAACACCAAAGGTCTACATATTGAACAATGTATTACTAGTTCATGGTCCTAACAGTCATACAGTGCTTTACACATATTTTGTATTTAACTCATACACATGAACAACCTATATTAACCTGATCCACTTAAGAAATCAATTCATTCCTGGTGAAAGTCCTGCT